GTCCAAATCTATTATCATTGACAACATGTTGTTACAAGGAATTAATACAGAAAGCATGGGAAGACATCAATTTTTATAAAAAATATGGATTACAAAACACTTTTTACCATTAATTTGTTATCAAAAGGCTTGTAGGACCCCCATGCCTGCAAAGGACTTCATTGACATAAGAGTGATTGTTTCGCATGACTGCTTTCAAATAGCCACTAAGAAATTAAGGCCTCACTCACACTCTGAGCAGAATAAAAGTAAAAACAAAGCTAAAATTAACTGTATTTTGAAGGAAGGACACTAACAATTCTGTTATTTTTTTCCACAGGAACATGTGTAACGATGGCCATAAGGAGGTGTTCAGTGGTTTGATGCTGAACAGCTGAGGAAAATAAATTTGAGGAGGAGGAAAAATGAAAACTGTTAGTGAGCTCATTTCAAAATATACATAAGTAACTACTCTGCTTTTAGGTTTTTATGAAAAGCAAGAGACAAGCATGTTTTGAAACGCTGGAGATCGTGTCTGTCAGTAACCTGTGCCAGTCTGTATTTAGTTTACTCCTGCTAGGCAACAAAACCCAAGTTCTCCATTCCATCCTGTAGTACCTGCTTCACTTAATATTGATGCTGGCTTTCAAAATCAGAGTCACCCTTACATAAACAGTTGCACTGACTTTAAGAAGTGCCATATCTGGTGTCCACTGCTTGGCAGACTGGATGAGTAGGATGTATATTTCATTGTAGGCTTTAGGAAGTCTGCAAAGGGACCAAATGCTGCTTATCATTTGTTGTGGTTTTGTTCTCAGGATGAACGTCCGCCTTCTGAGGGCAGACTGTAAGGTTTCCGCGGTTGTGTCTGCAGCTGTGCAGATGCCCTTAGATCTCAGAAGCTGAACTGCACTCAACAGCAAATTGAAGAACAAGGCTGTTTTATCCACACTCTAAGGAACAAAAACCTGGGCACCGCTCCATTTAGTTCCCTCCTTTCATTTTTATCTTTTCAAAATAAAGAGATAAGGGAAATAACAGAGCCAGGATGGGGATGGACAGCTCCAAGTACAAATAAATCAGCACTCTTGTTTTAAAGGTTCTAAGTTGCACCAAGACTTAGAAATGCATGATAATAAGTGGAGGAGAAAGGTGAGGCTTGGCTGACAAAAAAATAGGGAAAATAAGAATCTATAAGTGTTTTCTAGATATTCTGGGCTGTTACATGTTGATGCTGCTTTACTCCTTCAGTGGAATGGTACCAAGTCACAGCAGTACAGCACCTGGCACTGTTCAGTTTAAACTTGGAAAAAGGAAGCTTGCTTTGCCTGTTGCTAAAAAACGTTTCCTCTGGGCTGAAGCACAGCAGTTGTTTAACAGCTTACACTATTCAGCAACTGTTGTCAAACAATAAAAAATATTTAATCCAAAGAAAATGAAAAAAGAGTTTTAGACAGCAAAGTGGAGTCATTCACAGTGGAAACTGGCAAGTGTCCTGCCACTAAACCTTCTGTTAATGACAAGTCCAAGGAACCTTCCTGGCATGCTTGAACCTCATTTCATAGCAGAGGTCACCCCAAAAAGTATGGAATTATTTCTAAACTTAAACATATACTCACCAATTATTCTTTTCTTCCAATCATTTTCTGTGGGGAAAATAAAAAAAAAAGCATGCATTTTTGATGTCCTGATTTAAACCACAGTTTTATTGTAATGAGGGTTTATGTAGGTCCTGGTTTGCCAAATTTAGTTAAGCTGTAGGACTACTTGTCTGAGCAGGTAGCTTCTCAGTTTTGATGAGCAGAAAAGAGGTATTCTTTGTACACCAGTGACTGAAAAGCTCTCAGAGTGTATTTGTTTTCTTCTTTTGAAGAGCAGCTTTGTTTATGACTCAGGGCTAAACTATTCAGGAAGTCAGAAAAGAGAACTTTCAAGCATGCATTTGCAACACTCTAGTCCTAACCTGTTGGCCTTGATTTCACTGGGACTAATGACAGTGACAAAGTGTAACATACCACCCTTGAGTACCCAGGCTGTTACACTGAGATCATGGATGCTCCAAATCCAAGATTGTCATTGTAATAAGGCTCTCCAAGCTGGACCGTCTTGTTTCAGACTTCCATTACCCTCAATTCAAAGGCTAAGAGGTCTGCCAGCTTGTCTTGTTGCCCTTGGGATATACTGAACTCCTGAACCCTGACACAGTTGCAGAAACAATGTCCTTTTTGAGCTTCACTTTCACCACATAAAAATTCAGATAAGCCCAAATGTTTTTAGTTTCAGCAGCATTTTAGATTTTGCACAGTCCAGAAGAATTTTCTGCTGCATAAAGAGTGAAAGAATGGTAATTCATAAATCCAGCACACACACACATGCTTTCAGCATGGAGGCCTGTGTATGACCTTGCCCATAATATATAATGCAAACCATCTAAATATCTAAGTCTTTTTCTCCAGAAGGATTTAGAAACTACAGCTCTGTTCAAACCTTGGAAATAAACAGTCTGAAACAACAACAGCAGCACCTTTATGCAACTGATCAGACTGACTTACTACTTCACTGTTAAGACATTTATCAGACTACAGTATGTGCCAAAGGCAAAGCTCTGTCCTGAAGCTCATGGAAGACTGGGGTAGTGGGGCCAAGTCATATCAATTCTGTAGTCCCTGGAAAGTGGTGATGGGGCTGTCTTTGCATCTTTATGATATGGCATATTAGGTTTACCTTCCTTTTCTGCTAAGAAATGGGTGTAATTTATTGCACATTATGAAAAGGGAGGTTTTCAAAATAAACAGAAAATTTATATGTATATAAATCAGCAATAGAAAAGCCATATCCTCCACCAGTAACTTCAGACGATGCCTTCTATCTTTTGACATGGAAACAACAGAATGATTCTCTCCTTCCTCTTCTTAACATAAGATTTCTAAATTTCTCTAGTCATCACGTGACACTGCAGCACTTACCAAAACTTAGTTGTTTTGAAAGATGTGTCAAGACTGAAGAACGATGACACAGTGGCATCTTTGGACAAAAGAACTGTGAAATTCAGATGCAAAATCCTTTTATTATAGAAGGCTACACCCTGTCCCCATATGCCCACATACTGCACTTATTAGCATCAACAAGAGCCATGGATATACATCCAAGGATAGCTTTTGGTCCTCAGATGTGACTTAGTAAAATATTGTGTGTTGAATAAAAAGAAACTATGTACTTACAAACTAAAATTATCAGCAGAAAAGTGGCAGACAGTCCTCCTAGAAAATATCTGAGAACATAACAATACCCTTCAAGGTTAGAAAAAAACAAGAGATGCATATTGGATTAATAGAGGTGAAGCCTGTGTGGGAGGAGGAGAGAAGGTTCTTGCTGATGAACCCTCTGAACTCTGGTAGATGAACTACAATGTAAGACTTTAAATTACATCAGCTTTTGAGGATAATATCCTAGAAGGGAAGACATCAGCATTCCCAGACTGAAATACCCATGCTGGTCAGATAGAAAGACATAGATCCATTCTGATTCTTCTCAGCCTTTCAAAACTGCTGGTCCAGGCACACTTGACAAAGTAGTTTCCATGTCTGTGTACATATTTCTTATTTTTGTACATATTTGTATAGCTGAGATTTTTGCCTGCACCAACTATAATGTGAAAATATATTTTCATAATAAGATATATCTAACTTTGAAAATGTGGCCCTTGATTTATCGTTATCCAACAGTTGAAATACAGTAAGCATTTATATCAGAAACAAAAGAAATAAAAGTTACCTTGTACATATTGAAATGATTAAACACGTGATCAGTGCAACCATCTGAGACAGGACACTTTGCACTGTCCTGGATTCTAAAACAAAAGCCAAGAAAATAATCCTCATGAGCTTTCAAGGAAGTAAATGTATGACAGGAGGTGTTTGCAAAGACCTTCAGCCTGTGAGGCCAGTCTCTTCGGTTTCTTTTTAAGAGAATTCGCCTAGAGTGATTCAAAGCAGAAACCTAATTTTCATGCTCTGGGTGTCTCTCAAGAGTCTTTTTCCCCCACAGCCGTAGAGACACTGAGCCCTGCACACTCTCAGAAAACAAGACTTGATGAATAATTGCTCGTTTCAGTTGTTGTTCCCATGCCCTCTCCTCCATTTTCCTCTTCAGCCCCCTTTTTCTTTTTCCATTTATCACTGCAAATAGGAGAGGAAAAGATGTGGGCAGAGGGGGATAAACAGTAAATGACAAATTTTTTTTAATCAGTCATTTTAAATATATGTTTCAGGAAATAAATTCTATTCTGCAAGGGGGGCATGTCAATATTTTTAATGCATTTATAGTTCACTCGGAAAATAAGACATATCAGAATAAGAAAGTAACACACCTGCATTGCTCCAAGTCTCTTCATTTGCATTTATCATAAATGGAGAGCTAGATTTTGATACACAAAATGATTTCTCAGGCTGAAGAAACTTGTCATCTTTGCTGAGAGAGACTCTGTTAGGTGCTGGAGCTTGTTTTTGTGGCACATGGTTGTCATAGCTGTTATATTCAGAAGAAACATTTGAATCACCTACAAAAAGTGTAAATATAACTGAGACTGCACAAAGGAAGAGCTTTGAGACTTGTGTTAATGAATTGCTTTGGGGGAGGTTAATTATTTAAACACAGAGAGGTTCCAAATTGGTAAGGGTCGGGAATTGGATGGTTCAATGTATGCAGGTGAAAATACAGAGAGTAAAGTCAAAACTGAATAAACCATCATATATTAATGACACCAGTATAAACATTACTGTGATGACTTTGGATTCAAATTCAGTCTTAAGAATGTCTTTGGCATCAAGGTCTTTGTGGACTCATACTCTTTCAATGCCAGGAGCTTAATTCACCACTTACAGTTCTGTCTTTCATCTGACCTTTACCTGCACAACTTGGCCGACAACCCCTACAAAACCTATAGAAAGAGACTCCCAAGTCCCACTAAATATAGATTGCAATGTTGTGGCTCGATTACTCAGTGCCTGGTCAGGGCTTACCAGCATCACTCTGACTGGCTTCTAGTTCATTGCATTCATCAGTCCAAGGATCATCTAAATGGGAGGAATCCATTTTGCTGGGGACGGTGCTGCTGAGCCAAGAAGTGGAGGCATTGAGACTGAACAAGCTGGCAAGAGACCGACGGATTTTCTTCCTTCGCCTGAATACACTGGAAAGAAAAGACACATTGTCAAGGAATAGAGTTAAATCATTCTCGTTGAGCAGGGACAGAGCTCTAAAGCTTGCAGGACTGACATGGAGGAACCATGTTCTGAGTGCTGTTCTTGACCCTGGGTATGTCACCAAGAATGACTGCTGCTCAGTGCAGTAATACCAAGGGATGTATTAGCAGCAATATATGGCAATGTATCATGCCATTGCGATACTGGATATTGTGATAACAAATTATACTATAGTTATTGGGCTCTGAACTTTTAGGAGTGATCTCCCACTACCCATAACTTTCACCCTATTATAACCCTTTTGGTGCAGCCTGAATCCATTGTACTTCAACTTTAGATACCTTCCTAAATTGATGTTCTGAAATCAAGAGAAATTTTTCCATGAGGAAGAATTTCAGGACCAGACTTTTTTATTTTTTTGTATATATACACACATATCTACTTTTTTCCTTATTCCTTATCATTGCAACACCTCATTGGCAAAACGAGCTGTAGCTTTCCCTTTTCCTTATTGGACACAACTCCAGTTACAGCAACAATTGTGTACTCAAGAGTTTTTGGATAGTAAGATCAGACATGACTGAAAATCTAGTTATTTCAATCACTGCACTCTCTAAATAAATTGAGATGTTCCCATTAAGAAGCAATGCTGATATTATGCCAACCAAAGTATAGGAAGTCGCACAGATACCTCTAGGTAAGTACAGAGATGTAGAAGCAATTGCCAACATTGAGTAAAAACTGCATATAGTTCACTTACCGAACTAAATTCTCTTTGTATGTAACACTTATCTGGGATGGTGTCAATGTTATGTTGCCCTCTTCATCAGGCAGAAAACTGTCTTCTGTCCAAATGTAATACCCATTAGAAAGCAGTCGAGGGCTGTGGCGACATATGGAAAGGGATCCTGGTGGAGTATTTGTGGAACAATATTCATAAGCAGGGTCATCGTCCGAAAAGGCACAAGCATAACTGAAAAGGAGAAATAAAGTTTCTAATTTAGTGAATGTCTAGACAGAGCAAAACCATGATTTAATAGTAATGAATTTACATTACCAACTGATGGGGGCTGGTAATGACGCAGATTTAGAATATGTGGCTATAATCATATTACTTTTGGACCTAGGGAGTTTCAGACAGCTGGAGTGTGACTGCATCACACTTTCCAGAGCTTCAGATTACTGGAGGGCTTCATGCCAGGTGTAGCATTTCATGTGAGTGTGGAGCCAGCTTGAATGCAGATGTGCATGATGCATTTCTGTGGCAGTGCTCTTGGCCAAGGAGTCCTGCCAGATGAACACCTACTTGGCGTCGACGGAGGTATTCCATTATTTTCCTTCTCTGAGTTACTCTGCATGGCACAAGCCTGAGTGCCTCCAAACCAGGCAGGATATATTCGCTTTTTATAACCTAGTCATACTGAATGAAGACTTAAAGATACATGACTTCATTCTCACAAACCTAGAACACCACACATCTAGAACAACATGAGATAAAGTCTACCCATGGTGATAACTTCATCCAACACTGAAATACAATTGGCTTTGAGATTAAATATATCACAGAAAAATATACTATGTGGTATTTAAAATAGAAATGAGTAGTGACAAAGGTGAAAGAATCTAAACGCTGTGGACGTTTTATTTAGCTCAAGAAAACTGAATTTATGGTTAGTCCTTTCTCCTCAACACCTTTCAGTTCCAAGGGACCACGTAGTGACATCCATGGAAGAAAGTCAGACACTGGATAGATTCAGTGGCTGACATGGGTTTCAGTAGCATGTTTCACTATCCCATATGGCACGTTGCTGAGGGATACCATAATTTCAGTGGACAGAAAAGCAGGTGGAACAGAAATACTCCAAAAACTTGTAATTGCAAAGCCAGTGCTTCCAGTCTCTACAGCAGTAGTTGTCAACTTTCATTTAAAGCAGTAATTAAGTTAACATAAGCACTACAATTCTGAGTGCCCCCAGAGGGATTTTAAAAAATCTACAATGAAATACAAACGAAAATAAATGAGTAAAATTTTCCTAAATACCTTGGAAAAACACGCTGTGAGAGGCTGTGTCTCTGCTCTCCGTTAAACTCTGTTGAACCTGTAGAGGCAAAGGGCAAATAAGAAGGAGTGTTTATCATATCTACTGACAGCTTAAACAGTTGACAGGTCTTCACTGACAGGTACCTTGTGCATATAAAAAGAGATCATAATAGAAGCTAATAAAAGAAAAGGGAAAGATAAAAGGAGATAAAACAGGTGAAAAAGTCATGGAAAAAAATGGTGTTTGTAGGAAACCCATCTTGATGCAGAATCAGAAACAATCTTCATCAGATACTTGTATTCTGCACAGCTCACAACCTTGAGAGAAATAATTATGGCCACAAACACAATAGCTGCAGTAATTTTAATGGTGTTAGGGTCAAAACTAGAACATGTACTGACAATAGATACAGAGTAGAATGGAAGGACCACCATAACCATTACAATATATTTTTCAGCTTAAAATGACAGACATCAGATAACAGGCACTGGAATAAAAACAGTGACACAGGTTTGATAATAATATTGTGACAGGAGACTCAGGAAATAGGATTTGTCTGGATTACCATGGCTCAAGTCTGCAAAGTGCTACCAGATGTTCAGCATCTGACAGAATCAGTCTTATAAAATATGAACAATGGCTATCTATAGGGAAAACTTATGTTATACATGGAAAGACAAAAGGTGTGATCTCTCTTTATGTTATCTTATCTTGCCTCTTCTGTATCTTTAGAGCACCATGTTTAAAACACCATCAGTAAATGACCATCGTGCAGCTATGAGAGATGGGTCCAAGACAATTCTTTTTTTTTATGTTCAGTTATGAACAGAGGCAAAGAAAAGACATGAAAGTCAGTGTTTCCACTTTGGAAATCTTGCCTATGCTCATCTGGAGCTCAGGTGTCAGCCACAACCTGGATGTGAAGGCTAACTGAGCCTTGGGAGCAGGCAGGGTCACCAAAGAAGAGAAGTAAAACCTTCCAGTCCTATTATCCTACTCCCATACAAACTGTTTCTCCTACACTTTGAAAAATGCCAATTAAAAAAATTACCATAAGAAAACTCTGCTCTAACCCTTGCAAAAGCAACTTAAGGAGATAAGAGGAAGAAACTTAGTGGAGGTGCAAACAGATAAGTAACATGGGTCAGAATTCCACATAGCAAGTTGTACAAGAAGCGAGAGTGGTGTCGTGTTTCAGAGACTGACATGTTATAGACCTATATTTTTCCATATGCAATTAGCTCTTGAATTAGATCTCATTTTAGGCAGAATCATGATTCTTAGTTGTGCAAAAACATTCTCAGAACCAATAAATTAATCCAAACTTGAAAAGAAAATACAGAAGAACTTGACAGGTGATTTGCAGATCTGGATATAAACTAAACCCATCAAAATCCTAAATCTTATCAGCCAAACAAGATCCCCCCACAACAGGTTTGGGGTTGTTTTAATCAAAAGCTCTGACAAATGTGCACAAATTTACTTGTTCTTGGTGTTGATGCAACGTGCGATATTCCATACATCTTGAAAGGGACTGTTTCACACACCATGGGATAATCGGTAATACAGATTATCTGTAAAAGAGTTTAAAAAGAAACAGAAGTGTGGTTTATTTTTAATTGATTGAAAATGAGGATGCCTAAGATAGTATCATCAATATATATCACATGATTAGCAAGTTGAAGGAGGTGATCCTGCCCCTCTGCTCTCCTAAGACCTCACTTGGAGTACTGTCTGAAGTTCTGGTGTCTTCAACATAAAAAGGACATGGAACTGTTGGAACAAGTCCGGAGGAGGGCCACGAGGTTGATAAGGGGACTGGGGCACCTCCTGTATGAAGACAGGCTGAGAAAGTTGGGACTGTTCAGGTTGGAGAAGAGAGGGCTGCGTGGAGACCTCATAGCAGCCTTCCAGTATCTGAAGGGAGCCTATAGGGATGCTGGGGAGGGACTCTTCATTAGGGACTGTAGTGATAGGACAAGGGGTAATGGGTTAAAATTTAAACAGGGGAAGTTTAGATTGGATATAAGGAGGAAGAGCTGTTTACGGTAAAGGTGGTGAGCCACTGGAATGGGTTGCCCAGGCAAGTTGTGAATGCTCCATCCCTGGCAGTGTTCAAGGCCAGGTTGGACAGAGCTTTGGGTGGCATGGTTTAGTGTGAGTTGTCCCTGCCCATGGCAGGGGGTTGGAACTGGATGATCTTAAGGTCCTTTCCAACTCTAACTATTCTATGATTCTATTAGTTGCAATCTATACTTGCTTCAGCTAAAGTTACTGATTCTAGGGCAAATTTGTTTGAAAAGGGATACAGAAGTACACCTCAGCATCAGTTATACGTACTACAGCTCTCTAATAACCCGTGTGAAACTTTTCAGCAGCTGAAACCCACAACACAGTTGTTTTGCATGTGATTTTTTTCAGTTTTGATAATACAGATTAGCAACCACTAAAACAGAATAATGTTTAAGAACAGTAGCTTACATATGGGTAGAGCTTTTATTAGAAAGTGTTGGCACATACTGATCAAAGTGGCAGAACAAACCGCGGTCCTTCCATTACTAATCTGAATTGTCTCAGAAATGTGTAAGGTATGTGCCTGCTGGGTGCTTTTTTATCTGCCACTTTCCACAGGAATAAAATGTAAGGTCAAATAGCGTATATACATAGATTTATGGTCCTTTCCAACCCTAACTATTCTATGATTCTATGATTCATAACAGAAAGAGAGATATATACCTATGCAATGTATTGCTGGGGAGAAGATGACTTTCTATCTTTTGAAGAATTAATAGGCAGTTGCAATTTGCTTTTAACTAATGATAATTCCAAGCTTCCATAAACAGTCATAGAACAGGCAGTCCAACAGAATTTTTTGCTACCCTTGATCATGAGAATTTTTGTCTAATGTTAATGAAGAGGGCTCCTAAAAATCATAATTCAATCAATGCTGAGGAAAACATGCAAATACCATGTTGTAGGCAATGATGCAGTGTTCTGCTTTCATTTCATATTCAGTTCTGGTTTGGGGCTATTAATAGTGTGAGAAGCTATAGTAACAGTATAAGCAAGCCAAAACAAAGCATCTTAACCACCACTGTACAATGAAGCAGTAGCATTATATCTGTAATCCACAAACTGAGCATCAACACAGAACCTTTAAACTATGGCATGAGAAAAGCCCAATATCTTTAAAAAATCACACTAAAAATGAATCTGAGGTGAGCACAGAAATATTTTATGTAGAGAATTCAAATAAAAGTTTAAGGCAGCAATCCCCCTCCCTTGAATTTCAAAACACCCAAACCCCTGTGCTGTAATACAGTCACTGTTCAAACCAGGCAGTTTTCATTACCTGTCTCTCCAAAAATCAAATTACTCCTTCAGCCAATGAAGCCCTTAATTGGTAGCCAGCAATCCTGTGTCCATCTTCATGTTCTAAATGTTTACATTAGCAGGTACCAAAATATAGTGTTAAGTGCTAAAATAGCTGGAGCCCAGGCAACCACTTTTATGCTATTGAACCTACCAAACACAAGTGTCTACAAAGGTAGTTTTATTTGTCCACACATATCAGTCATTTCTGAAGAGCAGTCTAGTCTTTCCTCCCTGCAGGCAACGATAACAACATCCACAGAAATACAAAACTTCCTGAAGAGCAGTACAGAAATGAGTGCAAAGCTTAGTTATTCCTCAGCTGACAAATATATTAAGAGATAAATATGTGTAAAATCTTCCAAACCTGGAAAATCCATTTCACTATTAACACATGTATGTGAAAGAGTTTCTCGTCCACGCAAGCGCCTCTGAGATGTTAAGTGGAAGGTGCTCCTTCTGCAGCTTCCTGGAAGAGATCAGCTCTGAGGCTTCAGAAAGGCAGGTCTATGAAGTCCCCTGTTTCCTTTTGAAAACAGGCCGTGCAATCAGCGGCACAGAGGCAGAATGAGGTCACGCTTCCTGTGGAGCAGCCTCACATCAGAAGCATTCATTTTGAAGAGCAAACTGAAGATTAAGATTAGCCCAGTGAACGCTCTTGCAGGCTGTTGCGAAAGAAAAGATACACTGAATAACGTTTCACTCCAATAATGATACAGAGAACAAAGACAGAACCTTTTCTCATACAGTGACACAGGTTTTTGTTTCAGCTTTACATTTCTACCTCACTCAGAAAACTTTGAAGTCCCAAATCACTCTATTTGTTGGAATACTTGTGAGCCTGATGGGCTTTGATGTACAAAAATGGTCCAGGTACCAAATAAATCCATGTATAATAACAAGGCATTTTGCAAATGCATTATTATAGGGAAGATGCACTTGAGAGTTCAGAGTTGCTTGTTTCATGGTCAAAAACATCTTTGCAAATATATACCATGCAACATCAAGATAAATTGTCTTGAAAGGAGAAAGGAATAAAGCCATTTGTAAACATGCTTATTGTTCCACTGTAGGCGTTTCATACTATGCAAGGTAATTCATCACATCTTGTAAGTACACAAAAATAAAGTCAAATGCACATAAGAGAAATGAAGCCTGAACAAGGTGTCCTGGCAATCAAAATGATTAGGCTGTAGAACTCTTACACGCAAAAGTAGTATAAATCAGCTGCTTGACACTGAAGAATTATACAACCTTAGGGAGCAAAACTTCATCTTCAAACAAACAGGTGACACATGATAGTAGGTATCTCTCCTGATGGCTGTATGTAGCGCGGACAAAAAGAAAGCATAAATCTAGTAAAATATGATTGATTTGATTTAATGATAGAGTTGTTTTCCCTGGAGAACGAAAAATATTTCCACTGATAAAAAGGAATGTAACCATCTCACCTCACAGAAAAGGACACAAGAATAGGAATTAGGCAATTAGGATGTTACAAAAGACCTTCTGTTAGGGAGCTAAACTAGAATTAGTATTTAAGGTCCTTTTGCTCAAACATGAAAACATGTTCTTCGCTTCTTTTACTTTAGTGGAATTATGCCAATGAGGAAATTTAGTCCAATGCTATTTCCATGGACGCATGGGCTTCATTACAGCAGGATTTCCCTGGCCACCCTCTCTCCCAACAGGCAATGGACATAAATTCCCCCTGGTCTTTAAAACTAGGTCACCTACTGAAGAATTTCTATGCATACACTAATTTACTTCTTAGAAGTATTTTGGGGTTTTGGTATATTTTGGTTCTTTTAAATTCTTCTCATCAGGAAGCAGTTCTGAGCTTGGGTTGCTGTTTTGAACAATATTGGTATTCCATGTTTGTCTGTATAGTTAAAACGTATTGTACCTATATCATATTTAGACTTAGAGGTGTTTTCTTTTTTAATCACTACCATTCATATCTGAAACTCACTGTTCCCCAAGCTTTTGATGCATAAGCTTTGTGCATTAGTGAATATTTTACAGGTAGGTGCTAGACTATATGTACACTATATGTACACACACAGAATGGTTTGTATATAGTTTATGTTTGTTGCCTTTCCTGTTGCTCCTCAAACTGCCCATCCCACCCCACCCCATCAGATTTCAAATTCTAGGAAATGAACACACCAACAAGCTTGCTGTGCAGTAGTTTCATGCCTATTGCATACATTACAAGCTCAACCCACAAAAGGAAGGAAATGAAAAATTACAAAACTAAATGCCACCTATCTTTCTACTCTTGTCCCAGGCTTACTCTACTTTTGATACTACAAATAAAAGGGAAAGCATATTACCAGTCGTCTTTTGAGGCCAGGTTGGATGGAGCTTAGAGCAACCTACTCTAGTGGAAGATGTCTCTACCCATGGCAGGGGGTTGGAACTGGATAAGCTTCAAGGGCCCTTCCAACTCAAACCATTCTATGATTCTGTGATACACATCTGTACAAGGTGGGTCCCTCCAGCAGCTGGGCTCAGACACATGGTCTGTCCTATAGCTGCCCCTGGATCTCCCCAGTTGTTGGCACCTGGACATCAGAGCTCTCAGGGCCACAGTCCAACTCCAGTTGCTGGTACAGACCATCACACACAGCTGGTGAGGATTCCCATGGTCCTCAGCAGCCCCCTCCCTATGGCATCACACTTAGAGACACCCTTGTCTCATGTCCCCAAGCAGCAACTCCCCTCACCCCCAAGGGTTCTACGGCATTGACTTATCTGAGTGGGTTTCATTCCTGTACACAGGGGCTGTGCCTCCTCTGGGACAGTCCTAGGAAGGACAGAGGCAGAGCACCCCTTCTTCTGAGTCCTTAATTTGGTTTGCCCCTGCCTTGATGCCCTGGTCCTCCTCTGGACTGATGCAGAAGGGCCCCTGATGGGCTGATGGCTCCTGGGATGGGCCTGGAAGCAACTGGGGCAGGTTATTATTTGAGCTACCCATCCATCTGTTGTCTTTCTATGCTCCTTTGTGGGTGTGCAGATGAGCTTTTAGCCCACATTACACCCCAATCCTGCCACCTCAGCAACTCACAGCAATTCAGTGCAGCATGCTATTATGCTAAACACACAGTTCTCAGAAAGCGTATTTTGTGTGGTAGAGTGAATTGAGTGGCCATGATGGAGGGAGT